GTCTTGCCGAGCGTGTTTGGTATGTTACTCAGCTCTTTGATGTTCACTAAGAGAAAAATGTGTAAATTGTGATAGTATATACTAATAAAGGTAAAGCTACGAAGGATGGAGAGTCGTCGTCGCAGAGGAGAGGTAAGACGTGTACAGGGCTTACCTGTTGTTGTTGTAAGAAATTCCAGATATTAAAACAATAGAAAATTATACTAAGATATGAAAAATAGGGACATAATATACAACATACCGCCTTTTCTTCCTCCTATCACAACTGGACTCCCTTGCAGCTAGGGAAAATGTCAGTTAAATGCATATCATGTAATGCTTTACACTGGATTCATGAGCGAGTTTCCAATAGCTCAATGACAACACCAAAGTTTGAAACCTGCTGCAAAAAGGGAGATGTACAGCTTGATATATTGAAACTGCTTCCAGAATATTTGCACAATCTTTTGAATTCAATGGATACAGTTGCATGCAATTTTCGGGGCAGGATTCGCGAGTACAATTCTGCATTTGCGTTTACTTCAGTAAAGTACCAACCAGATAATCGACCAGAGGTACAAGGAGCTGGAATCCGATGCTTTCAGATACATGGGGAGTTGTATCATCTTCAAGGTCCACTCCAGCCGCAACCGAATAATACACCTGCCTTTGCACAACTCTACTTTTACGATCCCACATATGCAGCTCATGCAAGATATACAGCACATCCAAGGTTGGATAGCGATGTACTTCATCGGTTGACAACAATGTTGCAGAATGTAAATCCCTATATAGCGATTTATAAAACTGCAAGGGAACGTTTGGAAGCTGTTTCGCAAAGTGAGAGTGATGTAAGAGTGGTTTTAAATCCACAATTACGTTTGATTATGGAAACTGGTGCAGACCGCTGAAGGGAAAATTTGCCAACAAGTGATGAGATTGCAGTTCTCATTCTTGATGAGTATGGAGAGGCAGGATTTCGGGATATTGTATTAGCGAAGCGCACCGCCAATATCGAGACTGGGTTTAGCATTATCAATCCAAACCATGCGAGTTACATGCCTTTGCACTATGTTTTACTTTTTCCACTGGGTGATCTGGGATGGCACTGGGGATTAGAGTTATTAGATCGCAGGCAAGTACGAAAGAAGTTAAGGCTAAGTCAGCGTGTTTTCTACCGGTACAATTAATTAATTTACTCTGATTCAGTATATGCAAAGTTAATTTACGAAACAGATACCGTTTACACCAGCACGAAAATGAGTGCAAGACACTCTTCCTCTCTCAACGATTATTTCAACAATATTTAGTTGATGCATGGTCTGTTTGTGATCATAATAAACTTAGCTGGATACGGAATCATCAATCTCAGTTAAGGGCAGATCTGTACAATGGACTTGCAGACAGTTTATTAGCTCAGGACTTTAATGCACAAGCTACCGGCAGACGAATCATTCTACCAAGCAGTTACACTGGTGGAGACCGATATATGCAGCAGTTATATCAGGATTCGATGGCTATAGTTGTAAGACACTTTGGACGCCCAACACTTTTCATTACCTTTATAGCCAATCCAAAGTGGAAGGAAATTGTCGATGAGTTACTTCCAGGGCAAACCGCAATAGATAGACCAGATCTGGTTGCAAGAGTATTTCATCTCAAGCAACGACAGTTTCTTCATGAATTGCGACATAAGAACATCTTTGGTCGATTTCTCGGCTATATATGGACTATTGAGTATCAGAAGCATGGCCTTCCTCATATGCATCTTTTACTCTTTTTACATCAGGATGATCGATTTCTTACATCAGAGAGGATTGATGAAATTGTTTGTGCTGAGTTACCAGATCCTGTTCTTGATGTAAATGGAGAGCTATCAGCGGTTATTATATCTTGCATGGTACATGGACCATGTGGGTCACTAGCACCTACGTCACCATGTATGCAACGGCAAAGCGGTACTTCAGCAGTTTGCAGTAAGCGTTATCCTAAAGAGTTTCAAGAAATGACCAGTGTGCAAGAAGACGGCTATCCGATATATAGAAGAAGAGATAATGGAAGGTCAATTGAAATTCCGATTCGCGGTGCAAATCCTGCTGGCACTATTACGCTCAATAATCGATGGATTGTACCATATAATCCATACCTTTCCTGGCGTTACAAGGCACATATTAATGTGGAAGTTTGTGCTTTAATTCATTCTATTAAATATATTCATAAATATATTTATAAGGGTTCAGATAGAACAACTGCACAGTTGGGTAGTGAGGGTGATGAAGTGCAAAGATATTTGCATGGAAGATATGTTGGTCCAACAGAGGCAGTTTGGCGTTTGTTTGAATTTGGAATGCATGAGGAATATCCTCCAGTTATGCATCTTGCAATTCATCTTCCCGGCGAGCAACCAGTATACTTCGGAGATGCAGAAACTACGGAAGACTTACATAATCGAATGGAGTCTGCTCGCTCTACCCTT